TTTGGTCTTGGCCATAGTGGAGTTTGGAGTGTGACTGTTTGAGGTTGTGGACAGGTGTCTTCTATACTGATAACAAGTTCAAACAGGTGCCATTAATACAGGTAACGAGTGGAGGACAGAGGAGCCTCTTAAAGAAGAAGTTACAGGTCTGTGAGAGCCAGAAATCTTGCTTGTTTGTAGGTGACCAAATACTTATTTTCCACCATAATTTGCAAATAAATTCATTAAAAATCCTACAATGTGATTTTCTGTTTTTTTTTTCCTCATTTTGTCTGTCATAGTTGACGTGTACCTATGATGAAAATTACAGGCCTCTCTCATCTTTTTAAGTGGGAGAATTTGCACAATTGGTGGCTGACTAAACACTTTTTCCCCCCACTGTATCTTCAACTTCTTGAGTTGTTCTTCCAATTATCTTACTTCTTCTAAATTATTTGCCTTATCCAAGTATGATATGCATCGATCCATATCTCTTTCTATTTCTTCTGTGCTAGTCATTGTAGGATAAAATCCTCTTGAACATGAAGCACCTTTAATCTCCAAATTTTCATCGCTGTCTCCATCTTCACTTTCATCAGAGATCGAATCTCTTGTATCCTTCTTCTTCCAACTTCCATCACCCCTTCTTTCCGCTCTAGCCAACCTCCGTCTGATCACAGGGTCATATCCACCCATGATCTCTTCTGAATCACTCTGATCATCATCATCATCATCTTCAAATTCCATCCTCCTGAACCTCACTCTACCCTTAGTTTCCAGACATGTCGTTTTCTTCTTACTTTTGGAGTTTGGATTCATATTTATGGTCGTTTCTGCTTGTCCTCTCTCTATTATTCGTTCATCTTCATCTCTGATGCAATAATCACCCTCCTGAATGATTACTGGAAGTTAAGGATAGACGTCCTTAAACTCTACTTCTTCCTCGTAAGGTGGGGGTCTTTTTGTTGAATCCTTATGTGAGAAAGGTGTATTGACTTCTGCCATTAGTTTTTCTGTTACCTTCGCCTCTTTTGCCAGTTTCTCTATACCTCTGTCTCTTTTATATTTTGTATCTTTTATCAGTTTTTGTCCCTTATTTTCAAACAACTTAAGAACACCCAGCTCTCTTTGTCTCTTTTCTTCACGCTGTTCCCCTTTTTTCCCCTTCTTCTGATCTGCCTTATATGTGGACACAAGCACTTGCATTATTTTAATTACATCTGGGTTAAGAGTCCCTTCCACTGGCCATGGTTGTTCAATGTCAGGCCAACGTTTATTCAATTTTCCAGATAACCTTGCAATACCATTAACTAAAAGATTACTATTTTGTACTACATCAACAGGAGTAATTACTTTCATAGTTTTGATGTCCTTTTTCCCCATTGTAACAACTCTTTTATATTCCTTTATTGTGAATTATTTTATTATTATTATTATTTTAAACTAATTAATTTGTAAACCAAAAAATACTTTAAGCTATGTTGCTTATCATTCCCTCCTATTTATTTTATTTTATATTTATTTTATTTATTTATTTATTTATTTTTCCTACCAAATTATTGATTAGTGGCAATCTTACCACATCCGATAAAGAAAAGGAAAGGAAACTAGTCAACTTCAGAGCAATCAAAAAAGAAAGACCTGTAATCCAGCAACACTACAGCACCCACAAACCAATTGCTTAATAAGCACCCAATCACCTTAATTTTACAGAATAATCTCAGTGCTGGATTTCCAACACAACTCTAATCAAAACAACCCATGCACAAAAAAACTTCAATGTGCAATTCTCAATTACATCAATTGATCAGTCTGTTGCCAAGTCCCTGCCAAATGGTCACAACATTAAATATTTTAGGCATACACAAACAGATAAATGCCCTTCATCTATAATATCCTGTAAGGGAAAGTACGTTTTGTGGATAGAACAGTACTGGCCTTAATTGGACTGGATCCAGGACAGCCCACGCTGTCGCGTGACGCACTGGTCAGCACCTCCTCTTTCTCTGTCTCCTCCCTCTCGTCTCTCACACCACAGGAGAACAAAAGAAACAGACAACAATTTAGTCTTTTATGTACTCACTGGGTTATTTCAACCATACAATACCCTTTTAGACATACCTATGTTCACATTCGCGCTAAAAATAAGCAAACAGCTTAACTCAGGAATATTATAAATAGCGCAATAACGTTTTATTTTATTTATTTATTTATTTTTATTTTATTTTTAATCCGTCAACATAGCTCTCATTTATAAATTAAATGGATCTCAATCAAATAGTTTCATAGTTAAGCAACAGCCACTTTAACAAACAGAATACTTTATTTGTGTGTACTCAAAGTCTCCCCCTCCTTCTTTTTTCAGCTATAAGTCTGCGTCTCCCAGCAGCTCAGTGCAGGCAGGGGAGTGGCATATTCGTTCTGTGTTACTGTAAACCCTTAGAGCTCCACACATGCGCAGTTCATTTATTAGTGCGATTTCAGGGTGAGAGGAGCTCTCCTGCAAGTAACTTTTTTCTAAGTCAAACAGCAGACAGACCAGCTGTCCCTCCGTTCTTTCCAACACAGACAAACAGTAACACTGAACAAAACGCACAAACCAACACAAAACATAGAACACAAATCCTACTTCGAAGTTTCTTAACGTAACTATAGACTATTTTCTCTCTCTTCTTTCTTCACTTATTTTACTCTAATCTGCAGATTTATAGTTATTTTCTTATCCATTATAAATCCTCTCTATACAATCATAACGTCCTCCCAATGGAGACTCATAAGGTTTTAACCGTAATTAACATATTTCCTTACAAAAACTAAAACCCCTGTTCTCAACCAAAACATATATATGTATATATCTCTAACATAAATCTTATCATAGCATGAGTCGACACACAGCTGAAACACAGCAGAGACCTCTTTATTTGCACAAACACACACTCTCTTTCTCTCACACACACATAATCAACAAGAATGCATCCATTCATACAATATCTAAAAGCATGCTTCCGTCGCTCCTATTCATTTACATTTTACATTTTAGTCATTTAGCAGACGCTCTTATCCAGAGCGACTTACAGTTAGTGAGTTCATACATTTTCATACTGATTAGTATCCATTTGATTAGCTGTTCAGCAGTCTTATGGCTTGGGGGTAGAAGCTGTTCAGAAGCCTTTTGGATCTAGACTTGGCGCTCCGGTACCGCTTGCCATGCGGTAGCAGAGAGAACAGTCTATGACTAAGGTGGCTGGAGTCTCATTCAATTAATTATCTGTTGACAGAACACAGATTATACACAGAACACAGAATCAGTAGTTATCGAGTGTGTTTCATAAACAATTAATGTACTCTGATGACTCACGTGACTAGGGTTGCAAAATTTCGGGAACTTTCAATAAATTCCCTGGTTTTCCCGAAATCCCGGTTGGAGGATCAGGAGGGAATAAGCGTTTTGTCACTCATTTTGTGGTACTGAGTCTCTACTGTCCAAGCAGCCAGAGACAGTAGCAGCTGCATGCCAGCATCGGGGGGGGTGCAGTGACATCTGCTCTTCCTGTGGCCAGAGCGGGGCTGTGGATGCATGGACTGTTTATACTGACCTTTGACCCTATGGGCTGAAAGCTGCTTATAAATATAAAAATAACACGCACATGGGACTCTACCAATCCATCCTAACCACATTTAAGCAAAAACAAGGAAAACTCCACCAGGGAGATGCCCTCGGATGGTCATCGGTTACTTTCTGACATAGTCATCCTCCATTTTGAGATATCTGATGACAAAATTGGTAAAATAAGCACAACTAAACCGAAACCTGGATTTCAATCACAACAGTAAGTTTATGCAGTTAGCTACCAAACTCCAGTCACTTACAAGTACTACATTTATTTTGCCTTTAGCAAATACAGGCCTATGAATTGTGGAATACTACAATAGAGCCAACCCATACAGAAATGTAATTTGTCTGAGTTCAATTCTCACGTTTACTTATGGTAAGAAGTCTGATGGACATAGTTGGACCGGTTTCCAGTAATAATAGATGACATTCAGCAGGGGTGAGGGTAAGTGAGTAGTACGTCCCTCCACGGGAAAGGGTGGACAGATACTTGATAAGACGTGCTAAAGGTCATTTCTGGGAAGCAGACTTCAGAGTGGGACAGGAGGATGGAAGTGGGGGAGCCAGGACAAGGACGTAGGCGGTGCCATGGGCTTTCCTGGTCAGAACCATGGAAACCCTTGGCCTCCCTGTTTATATTATTTTGTCATGAGCTTCCTCTACGCTCCATTTCCTCCACTAATAAACCAGACAGGCAGAGATGACTCAGCAGGAATCTGACTCACAATGCAGGTTTATTGGACACACCGTTCCCCTGGCTTTTACTGTTTATACTGCTTTTACAGGAACTGAGAAGCACAGATTGGCTAATTTACAGTAACCCTCAGATGCCTAATGTATGGCTCTGAACCTGTGTTGCTTGGTGGAATCTCTATCTTATTATGCAATCTACCCAACTAACTACTGTACTGTAACTGTCTGAATAGACAAGAAAAGACTGGTGATTCCTCATTTTGACACAAGCTGTGTAATTGGACACTATTTTGCTCATGAATTTGTGCAGTGTGACATCAAAGTGTCTGAAATGAAGCCAAGTATGAAAGCATTATAAGGGAGGTCCAGATAGCCACAGGGCCAGGTCGGGGTGTCTGTGCGCCTCTATAGCCGTGTTCACATTGGCAGTTTGAAGTGACTCAAATCCTATTTATTTGCATATCCGATTCGAATCTGTTATTTTCCTGCAGTCTGAAAAGCAAAAAAGCACACGGAATCGGATATTTCAAGCCACATGTCAAATACTAATCTGATTCCTGTCCATGTGACTTGTGTCTGAATGGTCAAATCTGATTGATTTGCCCTCAAGTGGTTTTTAGACTGTTACTATGACAACTAGCGGATTTGGTCACTTGAAACTTTCTGTTTGGACAGTCAGTAGTCCAAAACGCATGTCACAGCCTGCCACACTGACCTCTCCCTTCTTCACTGTCATAGACTGCCTGCGTGGGGTGATCTCCTCGTTGATGCTGGACAGGAAGTTCTGGGAGATTCTCAGGGCATCCAGCAGCAGTGGATAGTCTGGGTGGCCGGAGGGGGTGTGTTTCAACAGGTCATGCAGAACCATTCCTTATTGTCCTTCCTAAATTTTTGCTACCTTGAGTTGCAGATATTCAATGAGAGGCTACTTCGGACATATACCTCGTCAACTATATACCGAGAGGTAACATACAATTGAATGTATATTCTACAAACTCACAGTCCCTTGGACTGACCCGAAAATCCACCTAGTGACTTCACAGGATTTGTGGCCCATCTAATGATCGCCTCGTTTGAGGGCTTCCATAGATCAGCGACGTCCTAATTAGTATACATTTTTCCTTAGTTCCTTGTCTTATTCCTTCATTCTATTCCCTTTTCCCTTCAATTTTATTCAAGCCAAATATCCCTGGGCCCAGTGTTATCAATTCCTTTTTTCCTTAGATCTTGTATTATATTCATACTCCCCCCGTTTGCGTTGTTTCTAACAAATTTAGAAATTTAGAACGGAAATTCATCACACAGCAAATAGCACGGCACACACAGGTCCGTCACGGTGCGTCCCCCCAACGCACACACAGTCACACGAACTGACCAGCGCCCAAAGTTGTGAGAAAGCTCACCCTTATCTGCCGGACTCTGGAGCGAGAGTCAGCTCGGAGCCCATGATGTAACGCTGAAATAGACGCAACACGTCCCAAAATCCTCGTCGCCAATTTCTGTGGTGGCCGAACAACGATGCTGCAATGCTGTGTTGACAAGGAATCCGCTGACACTGTACTTTGATTATAACTTTTATTATATCAAAAGATTTCAGCATCAATTTACAGATTTCTGCAGAATCTGGAGAGCAACTAACCCAATCTCAAATATGATCACTCTCTTCGTCCCTTTGTTAAAACATGGTATATATCCTATGTAACACAAAATGGCGTATTTTGAATAGACCAATCCCTGGCCTCCACATATCCCCATCTCCACTGTTTTAGGGGGCCCCTATAGTAACACTTTCCAGATGTTTCAGCAAAGCAAAGTATAGTTTCAGCAAAGCAAAGTATTTAACCAACAATATGAAAACCTCAGCCAAAGCTATACATGTTCAGATACTACATGAGTCAAATGATTCGTTATTTTGACTGAATGAGTCGAAAAGATAAGTCAGTAAAAGAGCCAAACTTCCCATCACTTGTCTTCCATGAATTAGTAGCACTAAAAGACCTGTCCAGATATTTGACATATATATTTATCTTGGTTTGACATAGTAGAATGGAATGAATTTATCTTCTTGTTTTCAGTCTCCACCCTCTGACTAAGTACCAAAATAACAATAAAAGTTATGCATTTATGCTTGTTTACATGATTGTGCTGCTGACATGTACCTTCATGCACAGAAGACTCATCTTCCTCACTTTACCAGAAGTTGAAGATGTCTTGCTAACAGGCAATGAAACATGTTCATACAAATTATTCTGATGCTGACTTGAGAAAAAGTTTATATGAGATGTTATGAAATGGAAATGGACTGTTCATGTCTGGTCTCATGTCTGGTTCAGTAATAATGATAGGTCTAGTTGCTGGGGGTCTAAAATACCTTTGTAAAATAAAATCCTTATTTAATTGGTCTTTTGTACTGCATCCTAATTTTTATCATGACAATTTAATACCAGACATCAACGGATAAAGACATAGTGTTAAAATCCCTTGCCCATATAATTTATCTCTGGACTTTGTCCTAGCAATAGAATTACTCTTCAAAATGTTGCATACAAGGAAACAAAAGCAGGAGGACTAGCATAGGACAGCCTGAGAGGCAATAGCTTTTTACAGCCAGTGTCTTGCCCTTGCCCCAGTGTAGCCTTGGCAACAGTCAACATGTGTGGTAATCAAATGCAGCTATACACACACTGTACCTTGTGATAATCAGAGCCAGCTTGTGATTGCCTCAAAGTCTATTTTCAGGAAAGGTGGGGAAACTTAATGATTCACATTCACCTCAATAAGAGAAAACATGCTCATCCATGCATTCAAAACATTCAGATTGATGGGAAATCCTTCACACAGTGTTGTATGCGTGAAGATAAGTTATATCAAACAGTTAACGAGTCAGAAATGATCAGTGGTGATTTTAGCATGTAAATCTTGGTGGGGCAAAAAACAAAAATTGGGGGGATGCATGCCAGCAAAGCCACTACACAACACAACACTAAACAATACAATAATTGCACTATAACAGTGACAAACGGTGCCCACAAACTGTTAGTGCCTACATAAAGCTGTCCCAACAGAAGTCCCAACATCTTACCACTGCTACACCTAGCTATCAGTGGATCCTTGTCTGGCGGCGAAACAGTTAATTCAGCCTAATTTACTGCCTTTAAAAAATACATAGCTGATATGGCTGACTTGCTTAAACAAATGTGGTTTCTACTGACAATTGAGATGTACAAACTATGGCATAAGGGGATGATAAGCGGATAAGAGGCAATCCGTAATTTCGATTAAGACATTCATGAGCGAGCTAGGACGGGTGTAGTCAATACAACTATTTGTTCAGCACTTTTGAAATGTACAGTGACAGAATTCAGAACATGGGCCGTGCTTACAGTGTACTCCCTGTACACCAAGTCAGAACCATAGGATAAATAAAGGGGGCATATAAGCAGACAATGAAAGCTCTTACAATATTTGATGATTACATTTCCCTAAAACAGGTTATAGGCTACATGTGCAGCACCAAGTCAGAACAGTAGGCGAAATTAAGAGGGGACCAAATTATTAGGGTGAGGCACATGGGCTACTAACAGTTTACTGCACAACATACACTTAGTATGACTTTCTTAGCTACAGTATACATATCTCCCTGGCATATTACATCATTTATACAGCAGCATACAAGACATTTTTGGACTCACCTTGTTGTGCTCACTTGAACAGGAAGGTGGCGCGGCGGTCCTTCTTGGGCAAATTCTGTCATCAAACTTTGTCATCAAAGTCTGGCATTCTCTGGATTTATGGTGCTTTCAAGACAACTGGGAACTCGGAAAAAAACAAGGTCGAATCATGACGACGTCAGTGATCTTCAGGTCGTAGCTCTAGAAGAGGCCCAAGTTCCCGACTTATAATACTGAGTTGAATGACCGTTCAAAATGTATTTTCCCAGTTGGAGCTAATTTTTTCCCGACTTCCCAGTGGTCTTGAACTTACTGAAGTCCGATTTCCCAGTTCCGCGTTAACAGTTGTTTTGAGCGTGGCAGAAATTATGCTGGATTGACAGCATGGCCAATGTTGAATGTTTATCATTTTAAGTTTGGAAACGAGACCCTTAAACTCAGAATTGGAACCACACACCCAATCCACTGAATAGCAGGCTAGTGATTGCTTTGCAATGCTTGCAGTTAGCCACTGATTCCTTCCAAACCACTCATTGTTGAATTTGTGATTTCCAAGTTGTTGTGTAATGTTTATGTCCAATGGCCGATGAGCACTGATACGTTTTATCTATAATTTCTCTTCATTATTTATCTTCATATGACAAGGATTAAAAAGGATTTGCCAGTAGATTGTCGACTTGATTCATGATGATGTCTGCTATTTAAGATTTTGAAAGTATGATGTTGACATGATCAGTCCAATCAAAGCTACTGTAGATATAACGTGATTTGACGTCATTTTATTTGTGGCCAATGACCTTGATCCTTCTTGGATGGGCACTTCTAATGTAACTCTATGGCAGCACCCAAGGGGCTTGAATTTTCGAGCTCTAACCTTAGATTTGGAGGTGACGTAGTGTCCCCATGAGTGACAGAACACTGAGCCAATCACGGCACAGCTAGAGAACATTACCAACTCCGTATTTTCCGCTGGCTGCCCCACCACCACAGAAAGCACTGAGCTAGACTGAAACACCTCATTTTGGAACTGCCTTACTCAAGAAAGCAAAAATTAGACCATGTTTGTATGGAGGCTATATTAACTCAAATATTTTTTTATTGATTTTTACATTGTTTGCAAACTGATATGTGACACGTATTAATAACCCCCCTTTGGTTGGTGGACCATTCTTGATACACACAGGAAACTGTTGAGCATGAAAAACACAGCAGAATTTCAGTTCTTGACACAAACCGCCTGGCACCTACTACCATACCACTTTCAAAGGCACTTACATATTTTGTCTTGCCCATTCACTATCTGAATGGCAAATATAAATAATCCATGTCTCAATTGTCTCAAGGCTTAAAAATCCTTCTTTAACCTGTCTCCTCCCCTTCATCTACACTGACTGAAGTGGATTTAACAAGTGACATCAATAAGGGATCATAGCTTTCACCTGGATTCACCTGGTCAGTCTATGTCATGGAAATATACTCATTGTTTTGTATCCATATCCAAAATCAATAGTGGAAGATATGAATGCCTTTTGGACTGCAGTCAGTATAATGTTATAGACCATCAGGAAGTCAGCAAGGTCTTTATCTTTCTGTGTCTTCTCCCCTCTTTTATTGTGTCTTACATCTCTGACTGACAATGGTCTTGAGGTCAGACCAGGTGAGGTGTGGTGGGGCTGATGTAGGAACTGCAGAGCTGCTTTCCACACCTGCTGTTGAACCACACAAAATGTGTAAGTACAATGTATTTTTACATTCCATTCTTTATCGTTTACACACATTGGGAAAATACTGGCAGACATACAGTATATATTGTTAATCACATAAAACAACTTTCTCAGTGAGTACTGTAGGTATAGCATAGTGTTTTACTCACTGTCTGATTTCTCCTCTATGTATCTCCTCCTCCCTCTCTGCTGTCTCGTGGACTCCTCTGTGGCCTCCTCTCCCTCCCCTTGCACCTCCTCTGTCTCCTCCTCCATCTCCAGCTCTCTCAAAGCCTCCCTGACCCTCCTCAGATCCTCCTCTCTCTCCCTGTCCTCTTCCTGGTGCCTCCTCTCCTCCTCCTCCTCCTTCTCCCTGGCCTCCTCCAGTATCTCCTCGCTGGAAAGCAACTCCCCTCTGTTCTTGGCCACCATGTTGTCCAGCTTCTCCAGTAGCTCTGCCACGGCATCGTGGCCCTTCCTGGGCCTCCCATACAGGGCATGATAGCGGCCCCCGCATCGCTCCACCAGGCCCCGGAGCTCCTCGCTCTCCTCCACTTCCTCCTCCAGGGTGGAGTCCTTCAGCCGCCCTCCCTTCACAGTGAACAGCACCACGGTATGCCCCCAAGTCCGCTCCCCCAACAACTCCACATGCTCCTCAGCCGCCTGCCGCTCCCGTCTGGTGAAGGTGAAGGAGAGGGGCACCACCAGGAGCACGGCGTGGGGGCCAGGCTGGCACAGCGACACGCCCCGGACGATCTCCCTCCGGACCCCCAGAGAGGAGCCCCTGGAGGGGAACCACTCCCAACCAGGCGTGTCCACCACCGTCACTTGCCTCTCGGCCACCTCGCCCTGCCGCCTTACCGCCTCCCTGGTTCTCACCCCCACTGTGTCAAACACCCCTCTGCCCAGGATGGCGTTGCCCACAGCACTCTTCCCTGCCTCTCTCTCTCCGATCAGGATTATTCGCAACCCTGAGACCACAGAAAAAGGGGCTGCTTGGCCTGTAAAAAGCATCGTACCACCCTAAATGAATATACAGAATAACACAATTCAATTGTATTTAATTTTCACCTCATGTTTCTCGTACTCCAGGATTGATCAAAAACTAACCTGGTTGAGAATCTGAGGAGCTTCCAGTTTCTTCCATTTCCACCACGACCTCCTCTGAATCCATACTGAATCCACTGGTCATCATACTTGTATGATAACACTACCAGTGCCTTCTAAAATGCTACTTCAAACTTGTCCACTTTCATCAGATCTGAAAGTATACAGTAGCTATTTTGTTAAAGGAAGAAAATCTTCCCTAGTCCTCTCCCCTCCCGGGACATCTTGTTGTCTGAATGGCTTATAGTCGATAGCCACCCTCTGCTAATCATTCTTTACAGACCCTTTTACTGTCCGAGGGATCCAAAGTTCACAGTGGGACTGCCTGCATGTTCATCCAGCTAGATAACACTACCTTGGCAGGAAACAACAGTCTGGCTGTGACACTGCCCCAAGCGATACTGTATGGGAACACAGCTTCTTTATTGTGCTTGAGGAAGACCTAACACTTTTGGAGATAAGGGAAATGGTCTTGATGAGTTAGGAGTTATTTCTGGACAGGGCCCTGGAGATAATGAAACAGACTCAATTATCAGTAGTACCACACATATCTCTGGCAAACAAGATTAAATGTGAAAGCTCCTCCTTAGTAATGAATGAAAGTCATATTTAGTTGACATTATCTGTTTGATTGTTGAAGATCCTTCACCAACAGCAACATAAAGTGCCTTCAGAAAGTATTCCCACCCTTTATATTTTTCCACATTTTGTTTTGTTACAACCTGAATTTAAAATGGATTACATTTAGATTGGCCTACACAGAATAACCCATGATGTCAAAGTGGAATTATGCTTATTTACATGTTTTACAAATTAATTAAAAATGAAAAGCTGAAATGTATTTGTCACTAAGTATTCAACCCCTTTGTTATGGCAAGCCTAAATAAGTTCAGGAGTAAAAATTGCTTAACAAGTCACATAATAAGTTACATGGATTCACTCTGTGTGCAATAAAAGTGTTACACATAATTTTTGAATTACTTCCTCATCTCTGTAGCCCACACATACAATTATCTGTAAGGTCCTGTCAAAATGCTGAAGTGTATGCAGCGGTGAAGTCAGGCGCAGGACACAGAAGATCAGTAACGACTGCTTTACTTTCCAAAAATACGCACAAAACAAACGCCTCCAAAACACAAGAGGAGGATAATACGTGGAGTGGGTAATAAACAGGATGATCAATGCCAACCATACATACAGGACACGCGGACAATAACACACAAAGGCAAACATAAAACAAGGGAACTTATATGTAACATAATCAATACAGAATACGAAACAGGTGTGCCAACTAGACATTACAAAACAAACATCGAAAACATCGAGCGGTAGTAGCTAGTACTCCGGGGACGCCGAACGCCGAAGCCTGCCCGAGCAAGGAGGAGGAGCAGCCTCGGCGGCATCCGTGACAGGTCCCTCAGTCTAGCAGTGAATTTCAAACACTGATTCAACCACAAAGACCAGGGAGGTTTTCCATTGCCTCTCAAATAAGGGCACCTATAGGTAAACATTTTTTTTTTTTAAGCAGACGTTGAATATCCCTTTGAACATGGTGAAGTTATTAATTACACTTTGGATGGTGTAGCAAAACACCCAGTCACTACTAAGATACAGATAACTCAGTTGCTGGAGAGGAAGGAAACCGCTCAGGGATTTCACCATGAGGCCAATGGTGACTTAAAACAGTTACAGAGTTTAATGGCTGTGATAGGAGAAAACAGAGGATGGATCAACAACATTGTAGTTACTCCACAATACTAACCTAAAAAGCTATTTCAAAACATGCATCCTGTTTGCAACAAGGCACTAAAGTTCTGTATTACATTTTCAATAAATTTGCTAACATTTCTAAAAACATGTTTTCACTTCGTCATTACTGGGTATTGGGTGTGGATGGGTGAGAAAAAATCAATTTAATAAAATTTGAATTCAGGCTGTAACAAAACAAAATGTGGAATAAGTCAAGGGGTATGAATACTTTCTGAAGTCACTGTATGTTTATTCTTTGGCAGATAAAAGCAGCGAATGGAATGGGCTGAGACGAGAGGTAAAGCTTTATTTTATAGAAAAAAAGGCTCATTTTCACAGCTGAACGCATTCCTAAGGGTATATCACGAGCTGAATCACATTGTGCTTGCTTCAGTGATATTGGAAGACTTGACTTTCCCAGCCACAGCACTTTTTCAATTCAATCCATTTAGTTTAGCGATGTGTCACCACCAAAGCAGTGTGGCGCGAACATGCTGGGGAATCCCAATGTGAGAGCAGGGCCCATATTTAATCTCCCTGAACCCAGTGCCTTGTGAAGGAAAAATGAAGCACCGAGACATGTAACTTAGAGACACAAGGAAATATGCAGTATTTACAGTGGGGAAAAAAGTATTTAGTCAGCCACCAATTGTGCAAGTTCTCCCACTTAAAAAGATGAGAGAGGCCTGTAATTTGTATCATAGGTACACGTCAACTATGACAGACAAATTGAGGAAAAAAATCCTGAAAATCACATTGTAGGATTTTTAATGAATTTATTTGCAAATTATGGTGGAAAATAAGTATTTGGTCACCTACAAACAAGCAGCTGTTCACTTGCTCTATATGAGATATAAACATTGCCTTATATGTTTTTACAGGTAACATACCACATCTGTCTGAAATGGTTACTACATTTGTCAGCTACCCTCTGAAGTCGCTAGTATTTTACAGAACATTTAGTCTCGCCATCCTTCTAAATAAAACTTTAAAATTAGCTTATAAAAATAGACCACAATCTTGTTCCACACAACAAATTTGTTTACTAAAGGCTTTGCTCTGTATTTGGGCGTTTCTTTCTTGCCTCGCAGTCTCAATCATTCAAAGGAGTGGTGGTGACGTGTCCAAGCGTTCTTATCATAGCTCAATGGGTCCAAGTTGAGTTTTGTGAAGTAAGGGAAACGAAACTGGGAAGACAACATTCCCGGTGTAGGGAGCCTGAACAGCATTTAGCCTCTTTGTCAAGGTGAGTGAGTTTTATAAATCCAAATTTCTTTACACAAATGAAATGGGCAATCAACAGTTGAAACAATAACAAAGCATTTTACCCGCCCCTGTTTCAGCTAAAAATGGAGGGTTGGAACTGGAGATAGCTAATGAGGCAATAAGTTATATTCTTCAAGGCTATCGTTACTTTATACATCAAAAAATGAATGTAGCAACTGCAGATTGCCCCTTTTAAATGTTGTTTCAACACGTTTGCCCCTGTGCTTAATTTGAGCTGTTGGAACAGGATCCGGCATGTCTCAGATTTGACTTTGTTCGTTCAGGCACATATTTACCCGGATCGAGTACCTCTCGCGGCAGGATTTATTAATTGTTTCACTGTTCGTACTGTAAACATTCTAATAAAAGCGATGAGCGTTAAATCAAGTTGCTTCCTCGTTATTTCTCCCGCCCTCCAGAGCGTAAATCAAGTTGCTTCCTCGTTATTTCTCCCGCCCCCCAGAAAGACCATCATGTAAAAGCGCGGTCATCCTTCTGTGAATCCTGTTTATAAATTATATCAGAATAGAAATGTAGACTTTTATTTTTAATGGCTGTGATTTTTGAATTATCTACAGTTGCATTGGACATGCCATGGGGACAAGGCAACACTGTTCAGTAACGATATCAACCAAACCAGGAAATGTCCAAACACAGGGAGAGCATCATGTCACGGTGAGACTATTAACATTTACATTTACATTTTAGTCATTTAGCAGACGTTAACCAGTTAAATGTAACTAAATGTAATCGAAAATGTCATTAACGTTGTCGTATCGGGTGAATGGTGGCAATTATTGCTGATGAACAAAGGAGTCCGCTCATACTGAACTTGGATCATAAGGTTTATTCATATCACAAGCTTCAGCATAAGTGACAGATGTCATGACATCCGGAGAACGGCGCCCCAGATTGCAATGGCCGTTCTGCCCTTTCATTGTCTAGCCCAGGGGTGTCAAACATACGGCCCGCGGGCCGGATCAGGCCCGCAAACGGGTTTAATCCGGCCCGCGATATGTTTTTGAATTGAAAAAAAAATATATATATATATATTTTTTTTAAGTATAAAAATGCGCTGCAATTTTTCAATAAAATAAACTGCTGTTCCAATTGAGTCCACTGGGTGGCGCAATAGCAATTGTGTTAAGCAAGCAAACTGTTTATACCGGGGCAGAGCAAGTAGGTCAAGCACGTGCAGCAAATGAGCTACTTTGTTTTGCCCGCGATATTTATTACGGCTTCTACTTTTAACATTATGTGCTTTGGCACCCTCATTGCCCGAATATGACTCTGTCAAAAAAGAGAAAAGTGGACGCAGAGTGTTCCAAGAAAAATGGTCATCCTATTTAATCACGGAATTGAATGGGAAAGCTGTATGTTTGGTGTGTTCAGAGCATGTTGCAGTGCTGAAAGAATATAACCTTCGTCGCCACTATGTGAATCTTCATGCCGACAAATATGACAACTTTCAAGGACAGCGGAGATGAGAGAAGGTGAATGAACTGTTGGCGGGTCTGAAGAAACAGCAGTCTGTGTTTACTCACAGCCGAGACATCAGTGACGCTGCAGTGAAAGCTAGCTACCTCATTGCTAATGAAATCGCAGTGGCTTCAAAACCATTTAGTGAGGGTGAATTTGTAAAAACATGCATGATGAAGGCAGCGGAGATTGTGTGCCCTGAAAAGCGGCAGGCTTTTGCAAATATCAGCCTGACAAGAAACACAGTTGCAGACAGGATTTCCGATCTTTCAGTGGATTTGGACAGCCAGTTGAAGCAAAAAGTAAAGTCATTTATTGCGTTTTCGGTTGCAATTGATGAAAGCACGGACATTACAGATGTTGCACAACTGGCCATTTTTTCATCCGCGGAGTTGATGACACATTGACCATCACCGAGGAGTTCGTGGAGTTGGTGCCGATGACAGATACAACGACAGCAGCTGATATTTTTACCACACTCGTCGGCGCGCTGGACAGGGTCGGAGTGGACTGGTCCCGCGCTGTCAGCCTGGCTACAGATGGTGCGCCCTCAATGATCGGGAAAAAAGCAGGCGTTGTGACAAAGTTCAGAGAGAAAGTGCAATCTGCAAATGGAGGACGTGATTTTTTGACTTTTCACTGTATTTTGCACCAGGAGGCTTTGTGTTGCAAGTCATTAAAGATGGATAACGTCATGAAGGTGGTCATCCAAACTGTTAATTTCATCCGATCCAGAAGCCTGAATCACCGTCAGTTTGACAGCCTTCTCAGAGAGAAAGACCACATCTATGGCCTGCCATACCAC